ATATATATATAAATTCAAAAATAACAAGATTATTAGGCACACGCCAAAGATCCTATTTTGCCTGCTGTTATTTCATTTTGATATTAAAGCATATTCTTGACTTATATATACTGATTGAATAGTTTTGATGTTTTTTTCGTCTGACGAACGTCTCGATTGATGTAGCAAAAAAGGATTATTCACTGGCCTTTGGACATACAAATTAGACGTTATCGTTCAATAGGAAATTGTAATTGAAATTAGGATTTCGCTCCATATGATCCAGATATTATATTTCTTACAGAAATTATTTCGGTAAACGTAATTAAAATAATATAAAATAAGATACGATAAATTTACATACGCATTTGGAATATTGTCACCAACGATGAGGAATTCGGCACAGGTTCTCCAAAAACCATCAGCGATGGAACGTCGAATGATCAATAAAATAGTCCGTGTATCCGGAAGGCTGTGTAAAATACTGTCGCGTGAATTACGAAATGCGGCGGAATGGCGACGTGGCATCAGGTGTCGGGGCGGGTTTACCGGGATGTCTCTCGATTGTCGATTGGAGAACGCCCGGGATGTTGCCAGGGATGCTGGGAATTGAGAGGGCGAGGGAGGCTGCGATATCAGGACCAAGGGCGTGGTTACGGGGGATGAAACTGCCCCTTCCCACGAGCGTCGTGTAGCCAAATTCACCCTTCCCTATAGTTTTTATATCAGGGATGCTGCCCGTTGTCTCTCCCGACGATCTCGTCGAAGCTAGGAGATCGAGATGTTGTCAGAGACGATCTTGTTGTCACGGATAAAGTTAACGACCGGTGTCAATCTAATCGCAATCTAAAATAGATAAATAATCAAGTGATTTAGCAGAGTGGAATATTTTGAAGAATCTACAGGTTTTCTCTCGTATGTTGGAATTATTAGAAAGTGATCAGTGATAAAATTTCGTGCATTTGTTGATTGTTTAATTGGTGAGAAAAAATTTAATTGAAGGAAAGCAAGAAAAATGACATCACTTCAAACCGAATGAGAACAGGCGAGGAAAATTCTACTTTATCTTGGAAAATTATGGTAAGTGACAAATAAATAAATTAAAATATGTATTAATTGTTATATAGAAAAAGTCTAAATAAATAGTCTAATCTATATACAAAATATAGTTTTGCTCTATGAAAAAAATATTAAAAACATCTCAGGAAACAGGAAAAATTAAATTTTTTATATGCAATTTTCAAAAATTTATAAAATTAGATTGCTGCAAAGTTTTTTATTTCAATATTGATACTAAAAGCATATTTTTATTCTCATTTAATTTCTTTTTATTAATTAAAATTTTTAACTTATCTTTCATAATTACAAACATTTTAATATAAATATAACTTACTATCGAACATTATAAGAATTACAAAGTTTATATTTTTATAAAAATATTGTGTTCCCATAAAATCATACATTGTAAAGAATAAAATCGTAAAGATAAAAAAACCTACGGAGTCTCGTATCGATTTGATTGGATAGCAGTGTCACAATAAATATTAAAAGGAGTTTCAAGGAGACTTGTCGCCGAAAATCTGGGTAGGTTTCTCTTAAATATTAAAGAAAGAAACGCAGAGAAGAAGAGTAAAACACAGAGAAGGAGTGGTGAATGCTCATACAAATTGCCAGTTTACCACAAGAATCAGATCAAACAGCAGTTTGGGGTTGTTTTTCGTCAATATTTGATGGCGAACACGCCATTTATGCGAAGCACATACCGCGTTTCTCTGAATGATGCAATACTTTTCTTGTAAACCGCTGTCAAAACGGTTGTTTTAATGACACCATGAAATCCACATTTTACAAAATTTATGAAACTTTATATTTTTTTTCTCTATACATAGAAAATATGAAATGTTCTTAATATAATATTCCATTTTCTATTCTGTTAAAGCTTGTCTATTTCTGACTTTATCCTCTTTTACGACCATAATTCTCTTACATAGGTTATGTTTGTGTACTTAACAAATATTTGGCTATCCAATTATCGCCGATCGAACCCCAATATTCTGAAATATAACCCCTTTTGTGCTGCATTTTTTCGTTTCTGCGAATCCCTAGGATCAACAGTGCGAAAAATTGGATTATTTCGTGTTTATTATATTGTCTTCTTCTAAAAATTGTATATTATTTATTAAATAAATGTAATGTTAATAAACATCTATATCTAAATAAATCAAAATCAATATTATTATTAGTTAATTATTTATAATGTTACTATTTAATTTTTTCTCTCTTTCTTTTAATAATAATAATACTTAAATTACTACTATTAACTGATACTAAATATTTAATTTTTAATTACCAATTATTAATTTATTATATAATATTTATACAAATAAAATTACAGTTAATATTTTACGTTCTATAATAATTATAATGATTACAATTAATTATAATAACACAATATTTTTTATCTGCAGTTATTTCTCGTGAGCAAAAATATCGATCTCTTAATTTCCATAAATATTTGTATATAAGTAAATAATTTTGTAGATTTTTCTAAAATACATTCATCAGATAATATATTTTAGAATTAAACATATCAATTTGACGAGACAATATACTTTCAAATTAAAATCGCGATTTATAAGACAGGATTATAAAATATTTCTGATATTTATAATGTTACCTGCAACAAGATTAATCTTGTCGCAATTATACTCGCGTTCTTTTGTGTGTGTCATCGATTGACAGCCATCATCAATTATAATTGCAGCTACATGCAATCGCAGCTACGGGAAGAGATATAGCGGTGTTTTGCAATGCGAATCTACGTCCGGGTCGAAGGTGAGAATATAATCTTTCGCGACAGATCAGACTGAACCTCTTTGAAAGGAACATTCACGGATCGCAGACGAGGCACATGAAGAGCTTCAACTGCGATTTCGCGAACGAGGATAGAGCGGTTCCCATGGCGAACAGCGGCCACGGGGTCGCCGTTAATGGCGTGGGCGCTCCTGGTTCGGGCACTTTGTCAAGGGAGGAGAGACGCAGGCGAAGAAGAGCCACCCAAAAGTATCGAACCGCACACGCTACACGGTAAGACTACGATAAGCGTAGTTGCAAAATTACAAGGACAAATGGAAGGAAGCTAAAACATTGAAATATGATTCACGAATCCGCTTACAACACAATTATTGATTGTATAATTAGAATATTTTGAGAATTACGATTTTCTCGCATCCGGAAAAATTACCGGGATAATTTAAGCCAATTCCAAAAGAGCAAATTAGCATGGCTAGTTTTCTAGATTTCTTTTATAATATAACGAAAGCATCGCTGCTTAAAGTGGATAATGTTTGTCTCGTCAGGGAAAGAGTCAGAGTGGAGGCGTTCAACTTGGCGTTTGCGGAACTACGAAAGCTACTGCCGACCTTGCCACCAGACAAGAAGCTCTCGAAAATCGAAATTCTTCGGCTGGCAATTTGCTATATCGCTTACCTGAATCACGTACTCCAAGCTTGAATTTGCGTATCTCAATGAATAGAGAAAGAAGACTTAGAACTCTGTTTCTTCATCATCATATGCTGATTGAAATGCGAACTGACTGTCGATCATTTTTTTAAAGAATAAGAAAACATTACTTATACATATTATTTTTAAAACCATCTCTTTTTTTGCATTTCTTGAGACGATTTATTTTATTATTTGTTTTAATTTCCGAGTGGACTCTAAATGATCTCCGATCAATTAGTTCAGAGATTTAAGCATTCGATGACTAATGAAAGAACTGTTCGGTACATTCAACAATTGTTAAAAATATGATCGTCATTGAGTTGCATAAACTGCATTGTGCAGAGTCATGCCGTTTATCGCGATACATCCGTCGATATCCTCGAATCTATCCGATTCCTGCGGATTAGTAAGCCACCTCGGGACAATGGAACGGTTTCCCATGGGATCGCTACCCCTCTGCATTCTTCGAAATTCTCCTACTACCCTCGATAGTCGTCGTTCAGCCACGTATCCGATCGTTGTCGATTATATGGCACACGAACTTAAGTGAAAAAGAATGGGATTGCCGAAGAGGCCAACTTCACGGATCGTCGCCTTGCGCCTCTCGTTTCCCGATTCTCTGCAAAGTGATTGCACGACTTGATCGCTCGGAAATCGACGTGAGATTGATCGTCATTGCGAACCAAACTGGCTTCTTTGCGAAGAAAGCGAGAGCACAGAATTAGAATGGGAGAAATTAAAGATTTAATCTTTACAATGGATTTTAAATTTTAGAATTATTATTTTATTATCATTACTAGTTCTTTTTAACATTTTCTGACAAGATTATTTAGAAAGAAGTATATACATATTTCTCGATAAGTTAAAGAGTTTTATTAGTTTAATCTAATTTGATTTTCTCCTTGATCTTCTTCTCATTGATCTCCTAATGAATACGATACGAGATGAACATATAACAATAAAAATTAAATATTTGATTTATTATTGATTCAATTTTTTGTGAATCAAATATAATTAACTAAGCCTACTTAGATTATTTCATTTCGACAAAGATCAATATTTTATGGACAACACTATCACACGAGTTCGTCTTTCATTAATTATCTAAAGCGGATCTATAGCGGATAATGATACATACAAGTATTATGCGAGTAAGAATTATGCGAAAAAGTTTTATCTCTGTGTTTATTTCGCAAACAAGTCAATTAAGAAGACAAATATGGTTAAGCGATTAATTCATTTAATTACTATTCAATTAACATCTCGTTTATAATTATTAGTTTTATACATAAATAAATGTCGATTGCAATAAAAATATTCTATACAATGTGTACAATCAGGAGCGTTAATCCGATGTGTTTGTAGAGAGATTTTATTATATACGCAATTTTTTTTATTCTTCCACGAGACATATTGGATTTTATTATTAACTATAGAAAAAATAAATATTGTTAAGTATTACAGAGAAATTTGATCGCTAAGTATGCGCGCACTGAGTGACATTGACTCTCCCATCTCTACATTTGGTATGCGTTATATATACATAATTAATAATCGATTATGAGTTCTGTATTGCATGTTTGGCAAAAAATAAATTACAAACAAAGACAATTGTCACATTTATCTTCATCGCAGCCTTCCCGACTTTTTATCAATCCTTTTTACATTACTCAAGTATTTTTCAAGAATAATTCTCAAGGTAATGTAAAAAATTTTCCATCGAGAAGCATAATATAGCTATTGTCTTTACGCAAAAATTACAATAATATTTCCTGACCGTACATTTCTCCGATGTAGCGCAAATTTAAACCAGTAATTATCTTCTCCCAATACATACATGTTGTGAGTTCTGGACGATACTTTATAATATTACTTTCATTAAGATAATAAAAAAACGAGTCTCACATGAACGTTAGTACAACAAATTACTCATTGCTTCGCAGACAAAGTTGACTCTTTTAGATATAGATCGCTTCAAAGGCCACCGCGGAGGCTCGTTTGCGCACGTTCATTCATTTAGCACACCCGTATTCTTCATAATAATCGCCAAGTATATTTCTTCGTCCATCGACGAAGGTAGATCTTCAAGTTACAAAGATACGAGAATACAGGTGCAGTGAAAAAAGAATCAATCCGACCAGAAACGCGATTATCAATTCACTGCGTGATATTAATCTAACACGTGTAAATTAATCTAATACAGATCAAATAAAAAAGAGAAAATTGTGCGCATTTATAATTAATATTGGAACGTGTATGAAAACGAATGAGGAAGATATCGATTGAATATTTGGTTTCGTCAAAAAAAGTACAAAAATCAGATTAATAATTTCGTCCAAATTTATAAAACGCTGGTTCTATCTTTAGTCGAGATGAAACTATTTGCGCGTCCAAAATGTTTTTCCGAAGCGATAGCGCCGGTGACAACTCTCAATCGTCTAATGGGACTTCGTGCTTTCGAATATCCTCGTGATCGCCCAAGACCTATACTCAGTCTGATTTACCTTTTGATTGCTTATGGTATATACTGTAATGGCTCGTTGAGATTGGAGGAAGTATATTTTGCGGACATTCGATTGATGAAGCTGGAATATGTTTTATATAAATTATTATCGTATTTCTTTCTTTGTTCTGTAATAATCAAACTGTTATTGGGCTGGTGGTACACGAAGGTGAGTAAATAAAACACTACATACATAAAGTAATTTATAAACAAAATTGATTCAGAAATTATTATCTCTAATATTATTTACGTATCGTTTATAACATACAAATTATATACGGAAAATATGCTGAATACTGGTTATCTCGAAATCATATCTCATCATATTTTATGTTTATTATTAAATATGAAAAATCTTTAGTGACAAAAATGAAAAAATATGAAATATAAATAAACAAAAAATAAGTAACGGAGACAAAAATTTAATTTACATTGTGTTTTGTACATGCTAATAATACCTTAAAGAATCAGGAATAATTAATGTTAATTTTTTATCAATTTACATAACTAATGTAATAATACAATTTTATTTTGAGTTTTATATTTTGAATTTTATATTTTCATAAAAGAAAATTTGCTATAAAATAATTTATATTTATTATAGAGGGTGTCTGGCATCATATCACCTCTCGTGTGTAGGTACAGCTGGTAAAACTGAGTAGAAAAGTCCTCTATTATTTTGCAATTTTTGCGATAATTATCGAGTCATTAATTATTTAAAATTACCATATTATCCTACCGGCAAATACAAGCACGCGGCAAGATACTCTCGCCCGGCGATCATCATTGATAGGCTTGTGAGGAATTGTTTACTTTAAGCGGCTCGTGCGTAGCTATTGCCGTTTGAAATTAGAATAGGTATATTAGAAATCAAACATTTTTATATCAATTATTATAAAGATTAAATCAATGTTTTAATAAGATTTATGAAATTTTCTAAATTATATCATTACAGAATTTGTTATCATATTGTAAGACTGACAATTAATAATAATTAAGTAAAACTAATAATTAATAAAAATATGTTACAAATTACAAAAATAAATTTAAGCCAGTTTTATTTCGACATCTTTTCGTTATTGTTATTTATTATTTATTACATATTTACAATTTTTTGGTTTATTATAAAATAGATATTAATTAATGATTCCTTTTATTAATCTTCTATTTTTAATTATTTTTATTCATAAATTCGATATCTTCAAAGAAAATATGATTTAGACGATGGATTACTTAAATCATATTTTTTATAGCATATTATAAAAAGATTTAAGAACAAATTAATTTGTCATTAGTGAAAGAATATAATAATACGTTTGAAATATTAAACTGCAATTTCCACTATTTATTTGCATACAAATCAGAATCAAATGGAAAATATAATATAAAAAATAGCCTAAGTATGCATTTGACAATTCACTAATATAGAAAAAACTTATGCTTATATTATAAATTGATATTTGCAGGAATTCAAAATTTGTCACAAAAAAATTTTTGAGATAGATGAAACATTACGACAGCTTGGATCGACAGTGAACTATGACAAAATATATTTTGTGACAATTGGAGTGATAATTATTTCGTTTACATTCGGTTTTATTTTGTGCATCTTGGCTTTCAGTCACTTGCAGGTACACACAGATATATTTAATTCAATGTACATGACGGTAGTATATACATACGGACTGAGTGTCAATACCATTACTATCTTTGAATTCTATTTGTTTGTAAGGTAAGTAACTCTTTTGAGTATAATCTAGAAAGTTGTTATAAAATTTTCAATTAATATTGTATCATTTAACATAACTTATTTGTATATAAGATTATTAAAACATTGAATATTATATTAATATGAATCACTTTTGTAAAACAAGATTTAATTAATATATAATATAATAATAATCAAAAGACCTATTAAAGAATGATGTATTACCTTATTACTATAAAATAGTAAAAGTAGTGTGTGTGTGTGTGTGTGTGTGTGTGTGTTGTGTGTGTGTACGCGCGCACGTTCATGTGTTATTTTTCTATATAATCAACATTGTCTTTCACGCATTTTTGGTATTGCATCAGCTTTTTTAATCTGTCGAAAAAAATCTGTTAATTCGATGAGGATCTAATAATTTGGACTAATTAGTAATACTTGGCTTTAGTTTAGTTTAATTTTGTCATTTTGCAGATGCTTACAAATGAAATTTAGATTAGTCAATCAACTTTTATGTGACAGCATAATAACATGTTCATCGGATATGAAATTGGGCATTTTTGAAATGAAAGATTATACTAATATCATGAACGCCCAACAGCGAAAACGTATAATTTCTATGAAGATGTTTCGATGGTTTCAACAAGGGCAATCACGAATAAATAATTCGAAGAAGCAAAATTCGATAACTCAGATTGAGCCTCAGTCTCCATTCCATCTCGAAAAACAATTCCAAAGTGAACTCCGAAATCGGTTTCAAAGACACGATCCAGTAATGACAAAATGTGAAAAACGTAAATATTTAGTACAAACAATTAAGTAAGTATGGGAAATTATAAAATAAAATACATAGATTACATTTATTTCTACATAAACTAAATTTTATGGCATGTTTTTTAAGTATCTTTTCGTTAAAAATCGATTCAAAATTCATCAATTTTGATCAAAATATTTAAAAGTTGTAATTTTCTACAACACATTTCGAGAGATATTTAAGATAAATTTTATTATTTAAGTTATTTAAATTTTTTAAGAAATAAAAAAGATTTTCTCCTTATAAAATAAACGTATTTCTAGTTATTTTGGAATATTGTTAAGACAGGTGCATCTGGAGTTAGTTAGAGTAACGAAAATATTATGCACCATTCTCGGTGTACAAACAGCTTGGGAGATAGGTGTGACTACTATATTTCTCACTGGAATTCTTTATAATTTCTACGTCCGATATATTATAGAACAAAAGAAAGTAAACAACTTTTTTGTGCAAACATGCCTGATGATTGCACAGACCTTTATTCACATTTTGAAAGCCGCTTCTTTGAGTTGCGTTTGCAGATATGCGGCCAATGAGGTAATCTATCTTATGTATCCTAATGTGTTGCTTAATCATAAATTTCTTTTATAACGTCAGGATGACATTAACTTATAGGGAAACAAAACTATCGAAATTATCCACGCAACTTATGGGTGCGATGCAAATGTAAATTTGCAGGAAGAGGTTTGTTTGTTTCAATGCACAACTGATTGCTGTTTTTCATATGATCTTAATTATTGTTAGTGATTGTTTCAGATTCAACAATTTGGTATTCAAATCTTGCAAAATCCAGTGAGATTCTCCGCATTTGGTCTTACTCTGGATAATCGTGTTTTAACTATGGTTTGTATCAAATTATTCCATAATATAAAAATATTATAATGCAAGATATTGTTGTTTTTATTGTTATGAGTGATTTCTAAATAGTTTTTAAAAAAAAAGATGTAATTAAATATGTATTAAATATATAATGTAATTACGTTATAATATGTTATGTATTAAATATGTACGTAATTTAAAAAATTCAATATCTTCTAATCTTGTTTAAATATAACTATTTTTATAATTCCACTTTAATTATATTATAAAATTATATTAATAAAAATTATATTAATTATATTATATTATAAAAATATAATTTTTATCTTTTTCCTGTTTATAGATTTTGAAAAATGTAACCATTTACATAGTTATCATGATACAAGTGAGCAACGCACTGGAATCGAACAATGCCATACAATATACGCATTTTTAAGAAATGATATATATTAATAAATAATAATGTTCTTTAAATTATAAATGAATTAATAATGTATGTCTAACAAATATCGCTAAATCATAAAAATAAAAATTGGAATTACAATGTAATAAGCTAAAACATTTAATAAATTATTTTATCCCTCTAAACTCTACAATAAAATTTTATATATTGAACTTGATTGAATAAGAGAGATTAATCTCACATATCTCTTTCTATTCGATCTGCATACATTTGGCAGATAAAAAATTTATAGAAATATAAAAGTAATTATATATAAAAGTAAATATATAATATATTATAGAAATATATAATAATAGTAAATTTTCTATTCTATTAAATTAATTGGATATATTTATATGCCTATAATTAAGTTACTTATAATGAAGTGATAATCATATAAAGATATCTATATATTTTTAGATGTTTATTAATTTTTTTAACATGGAAAAGCTAACTGTGTGATTGCAAATGTCAACCACAACAAAGAATTGTTAGAATTGTTAGTAAAAGCATTATGCCGCCATATAAGTATATACTCGGGAAAAATGTATGTGCGTTGGTTATTATGTATTCTCCTTCCTATCTTCATTTGTTGCATTTCACTTTCCTTTATTGCTGGGACGTCGGAGGTGTTATCGAGGTCTATAGAGCGAAATGTACGACTTCATGAGCTTGCAGTTCTTTTGCAATATGTATGATAATTACTTGCAATTATCATAAATATTATATAATGAAATAAAATTTGTGCATATTGTTAGTTGTAAAATTATAATTAGAAGACTTTTTAAAGAATTTTAATAATTCACGGAATAATCTTATCTGATATATAATTAATCCTTGTTGAAAGTCTCTTTTATTGTACATCGATCTTTTATTTTACAATTATGTCAGTAATACGAATTTATATTTTTAACTCTCGTATTGTCATTAACAAGATAGCTCTTAGCCTGATACTTTGCACGATATCGATCTTCTCGGTGAAGTCTCTTGGGCATTCATCCATTATGAGATCGGACACCCGATGTATTTGTCGTTTATTTCACGCCACGCGCGCCTTGTCATCGTTTAAATTTATCATTATCTATCGCGCAATACTGTACTATCAATAATTGTTATTTTGTTTTGTACTTTGTTCGGTACCTTACAGACCAATGTTATCGAAGATTTCGGTGTAATCTTTAAAAAAATTTTACGTTCCATAATATATATGTAATAATATGTTTCTGTATAAAAGTAATTACCAATAAATTAATATTAAAAAAGAAAGATTACATTTTTTTTTATTTTTGTCTTTGTCATCAAAAAAACATAAATGTCTCAAAATACAAAAGTAAAAATAATAAAAAACAGAAAGAAAATTTCAAAATATTGCACTATGTTTTCCAAGAATTAAAAGCAATTGTTATTTTTCAAATTAAACGTCGCAATCTCCTAATTGATCTAGACATGTTATTCAAATTGATGTTTTGAGAGAATAAAATTTCAGAAATTCCGATGTATTCACAGAATATATCACAGAAACAAAAAAAGAATGCAAGAGTGCAAGAGTGATTTTTTTTGCAATATCGCGGACTGATATCGATCACGAGTCCTTGATGAATCCTTTGGGATACAGGAACTTCGCGAACATCGTTTATTTAGGTCGAGCGTTCACCATTTCACGCCGCCACCACCTGTTCGACCACCTTCGGCTGCCCACCCTTGTCAGGGGTGACTTTTAGTATTACATTCTCACGCATGTGGAACACGCGACGTGACGCGACTACAGTATCATCGTTTCTCAGTCGCGGAACACGCATATGTGTAATCGACAGCGAAAGGCACTGTTCGTTTATTAAGACTAGTGTCTCAATCATCCACGAGGATGTTTCAACCGAAGACTCTACAGGAAATGACCATGCCGTTGTTCGTGGCAAACATCATTCTCGGTATGGGAATGTGGACCATCAAACGAGGCAGAATTTTGAATATTATGTACTCAATGATCTGTCTGGTGGGCTATTGCGTCTTGATGAAGCTGTCGATGGAATACCTGGATACCTACTATCTACACAAAGTGCATCGGCTCGGTAACTTGACGTTCCAAGCGATTTTCTACGCTAACATTTGCCTGACATTATGGCTCATCCCTTGCGGCTGGTTGAGACGAAAGGTAATTTCAGATAATTGTTATACACAGAAAGAATGATTTTGCTGAAGTATTTAAAAATTTGGCCAGATATAGATGTGAAAATAATTTTGTTGATTCAAAATAATGTACAATACTTAAGCGTGATGATAATATAGTGGCAAAAATTTTATATATATCTATATACAACTAATGTGAACGTAGTTTTGTGTGTGTGTGTGTGTGTGTGTGTGTGTGTGTGTGTGTGTGTGTGTGTGTGTGTGTGTGTGTGTGTGTGTGTGTGTGTACAACTAATGTGAACGTTTTACATAATTACCAATAAATTATTTTCAGATTTATATCTAGCCAAGTTTTTAAATACTTCAGCAAAACTGAACTCTTTCTAGAGGATATTTCTTAGTGTGATAATTTTTCGTAACAAATTAATTTCAATATATCATACGTAAGCAGTAATTTTATTAAATCCAGAAAATAGACTCTACCAAGTTTGATTTCGTGCCTTGAATTTTTCTAGTCTCGAATATTATTTTTCAACTTTCGTAGCACATGAAAGCGGCAATGATGCGCATCCTAATGTGTGAGAAAACCATGGAACAGATGGGATTGCAGAAGAATTATCGAAAATTATATCTAGGTCAACTTTACGCTCTCATGTTCGTTATAGTGGCGTTCATCTCGTTCGCGGTGATCAATTACGATGGGATGTTCACAGAAGAAACACCCATGCATATCAGAATCGTCATCATGCTTGCCGTAAATTATCCCGTTGCTTTACTCTATGTGAGCGACGTATCTTTTTTGCATTGGGTTAGGTAAAGCAATCTCGTATGAGTACAAAGTAATAAATTTTTATCTATGTTCAAGTACAAACAGCTTGGCATTCGCGTATTGGAATTATTATTGATTCAATAATAATTTTAGATTTCAATTAATTTAACGCGTTTCAAATTTCTTGTGATATAACGTTTTGCGATTTTTTGAAATTATTGAAAACTGTATATTAAGTTATCGTTATTATTTGTCCCGTTTCTGTTATGAATTCTTGAAGATACGCGACGCTTCGATTCGAGCAGCTGAACAATCTGCTGCAACGCATGTTAACGACCACACCAGATTCACCACAGCACAAAAGGGTGCTTAAAATGAAGGACGAGTGGAACAAGACCTTCACTGCATCCGCGACGCAGCAGGATCGTAAGACGAAGGAAAACACTGACACAATGAGGGCCGTCAAGTGAGGTTTTTATTTTAACGCGCGTATAAATAAATTTCTTTTATTATTTTACATACAAACATCTTGCATATTTATACATATTTGCGCACATATACTTACGTTATTATACATTTGGAATTTGTTCAGTGTGATAATGAATTGTTCATGAATAATATCGCTTCTGTCTTGCTCTACAAGTTACACATTTATTTCTGATAATTAATGTTCTATTTATCACGTAATTATGCAAATTGTTACTTATAAATTCAAACTTCATTTTGAATCCATTATACAAAATATAATTATTTAACGAAAGAAAAATTTAAAGATATAATTAGATGCTACATCTTGAAAAATAATGGAATTGAATGTAAAAAAATTAACGTAATTCTATATTGCGATGTTCTAATTGAATAGCATATTATTTTTCTTTTTAATGGAATTAGTCTTATAATGAGATATGCATTTCAAAATAATTTGATTGAATGTTTTCTCTTTTTCAACAAAGACAAGTTCATCTAGAATTAATCAAGTCCACCAGAAGTACGAATGAAGCATATGGTATACAGATTCTTCTTTCCATGACGATATCGTTCGTGTTTATCACTAGTCTCTTGTACTACGCTTATTCGATTTTTTGGCTACCTCTTGACAAAGAGGTATTTCGACGGGAGATGATACCAGTCGTTGGCTGGATTCTGTTCTATTCGTCAAAGGTCCTTGTTATAAACCATATGTGCGCAGTAGCGAGCATTGAGGCAAGCATTAAGAAGCAATTTTATAATTTTCTTTGTCTTCTTCGGAATTAATGAAATATATTTTTAAACGTTATCATTTTTTTGAATATTAGAAAAGAAATTAATTTGTCGCAAATATGATATATGAATTTTCCTCAGGCTGCAAACACGGGTGATATAATTTGCGAACTATACGAGCCGTCAACTAGCAAAGAATTTCGCGCGGAGGCAAGTTTGTTTTATATTAGAGCCAAAAAATAAAAGAAAATAACAAAGAAAATTACGAATTAAATAAGAAAAAAAATTAGAAATCAATATCTTTTGCAGATACGGGACTTTACTCTACAACTGATACAGAACCCGTTAATTTTCACAGCATGCGGATTTTTCAATCTAGATCACACGTTTATTCATGGGGTAAGAGTGTTGGTTCGCCTAAATTTGGTATAAAGCAAAAAGTTTTTTCGAAAATATAAAGTGATAATTTCTGAGATTAATCGTACAAAAGTATAGACTTTTAATCGCTTGTGAGCATAATAACGCGTGTCTTTGTTTGACCTACTTTAATTTCCATAATGCCTTCGTTCATGAGCTTTCATTTATTTTTTATTACTTTGTACTTTGTTTACGTTTAATTTCAGTTACGTTTAACTTCATTTTATAATTTTTTCGTTTCATAATATTTTTTCTAATTAATGATTAATCATTTAAATTTATAAATTTTTGTAAATATTAATAAACAATATAAAATTAATATATACTTGGAACTTCTATATTTTGTTAAAAATAAAAATTAAAAATATTGTAATAAAAAATCAATTTATCAAAATTTTTGCTTTTTCTCAGGTCATTGGCTCGGTCACCACATACCTTGTGATTCTCATTCAAGTTGGAGATTTACCAACAGGGAAGACATCCAATTCCACAGATTATATCATAAAGTACAACAGTTCCAATTTTACTACGTTTGATACGTTTACAACTGACGTTTATCTGTAAAAATGAATTTCGCACATGTTGTTTTGCATTTTATTCCATGTAGATAAAAAAAAATTGAAGATTTATGAAGATTTATGCGTGATTGTTTTCATAAATACATATACTTTGTGTGTACTGCATGATGCCCAAGATAAGAAAAAGTCAATTTTTTTCATCTTATTGGACGCTAAAATTTTGCACAGAAATAATCTATTTTAGCAAATTGAGATATTATTTATATATATAATAAAGTATTATTATACACTTTTTTTATAAATATGATATATCGATTCTTACTCCTGATCTTTTTCATCAGCATTTTAACGGGATAAAAATCGATTTTATGCAGAGCTAAATTTGTTTTATAATATCTGTAATACTTCTTTAATAATGCTTGCTGATTCCTCAAATCTATGTTCTCATCTTTGAGATTTTAAGCGTAAAAGGGATGATGCAAAGTATTTAATAGCACGATCAATTAACGGTGAGGATCCGACGAGACCAAATTCTATCCGACGATTTTCCGCCAATTAGAACGCCGACGGGGATACTGTGTCAATTACACCACCCTAAATGCACTTATCCTGCTCGCCTACTATCCAGATGGAGGCGTTAGCCCGTGAAATTCGGTCCTACCGATAATTCAATAGTTCCTAACTCGGTCGAAGTCTCTTATTCCCGATCAATTATGTATACGTGCGAGACATTTGAGTAAAACTTTTACTCAAATTTCGCAAATATTTTTCTTTTATTCTACAAATCTTTTAAAATTTCATTAATAATATTATCCTTATTCTAGTATTTTATATTAATAATTCATATGCCATCTTTTTATTTTTTTCCAACTTATTAGGTATGTTTCGCACTTCTTCTTCAATCCATTTACATTCTCTTTTTTGTATCGATCGAATATCTCGATGGTAATTGCCGTATGATTCTATCTTTGAAAAGCAAGAATTAGAAAAATTAAGATGTTATTAGAAAATTGTTCATAGTAGAATCACGCTTCATTTTACGCAACGATGTCCCGTCGACACATTCGATGCATAATCTACGAGGAAACATATTCGAACGTATGGTTTAAGGAGGGATGTGCAGGGCGTACGTTTACATCGAGGATAACATTAATTGGGAATTAAGGGCGCGAACGCGCCGGTGGCCGTCAGGAGCCACCTGCTACTACTAGTACTCTCGTTGAGCCAAGGGGATTGATTTATTGTACCCGGGGGAGAAAGAGGGTTGTGGAGCGGTTCGGACTGATCCAACCGATGCTATTGTACCCTCTCGTTAAATAAAATTCTTAACAGGCATCGCGGATATATTATCAACAATATTGTTTTCTAAATTTAAACCCTTTTCTTCTGCGAGCAATCGAATCTTCTATTTTAAAATTACATCCAAGCATATTTTATAGAATTTAATGGTTTGACTAATTCTATCTTTTTAACATTGTTTGAAGAAATCATGAAAATATATATATCTGTCTTGTATGTTTTAATCCAAAAAGAACATAAGCCAAAATATTTGGAAACGTCTTGGATGTAAAGATATAATTTTACGGTATCTTTATGTTAAAGCAGAACAATTGTGATAGAAATATTAAACGTAAAAAATAATTATTTAATATCATTAACATAATTTTACTAACAACTATGAAAAATTTATAATGCAAACAAAATAATCTTACTAATCTTCCTTAAAATTTTTCAGTTTCTGATTTTCAAACAGTTTTCCAGAGGTATGATTATATATCATTTACATATCAAATATAAAACTATTATAGAAAATAAAATTAATTATAGTTTAATTAAAATTTTTATATTTATAATTACATTTTATGGGTAAAAATATTAGTGGAACACATGAAGAACTTAGTAAGTGAAATCCATAATGCGCGTGGATCAATGGAATATATTTTTTGTTAGAGCATACGGATTGGATTATAGATGGAAATTGTGGAAAGGCAAACACAAACAGCAGTCTACGATCCTAATAATCCGCAAACGTCGTTTATCATCCGAAAGTGGATCCGCCCTAACTCGAGACCACTCCTACTCGAGGGTGCGCGCAGTCGCTGACTGCTGTCTCTTATCCCTTGCGTGTATATATATATATATGTTTGTATATGCTTTTTCGCAATCTACATTAGACTGCTTTTACGATTATAAGTACAAATCTACATATTCATTTAATTTTTTATAATAAATTTGCAATCTGATCCGATTATGTGTGTGTGGGCGCGCGCGCGCGTATGTAGGTGTAACGAGAGGAAAAAATTATATATATTATGTCACATAAAATTTAAAATTATATATTTACAGATATAGTACAAAAAACATTAATATTTATAATTTTTTGTTGCCATATTTCAATTTATTTTTTAATTTCTTAGGGTTAATTCCATATGTCTTCAATCTTTTTGCATTTAAAGACATTGTTAAATCATCATAGTCTGTTTTGTGCTTCCCAGTATTCACTTGAGAATTCTTATTCTTCTTTTTTTTCCGGCTCTTTATAGACTTTTCAATAGATGTTATTTTTTCGTTATTATTTTCCACTTTAATGTTAATATTTGCTTTTATTTGAGACTTTTCTTTTTCTGCGTGATCTATCTTCATTTTCTTAGAAAATGGAGCATCGCCATCAGTTTCTGATTTGTTCTTTCGTTTCTGCTTTTTGCTCTTATTTATTATATTTTTCTCTTGCATATCTTTTTCTTCTTCTTTATCATCTTTATTATTGTAAGAATTGTTCTGTATATTATTTTCTGTTGTACGCATGAGTTCTTTTTTACATATGGTATCAGTATTAGTAGAATTGTTGGCTTTAGTTTTCTTTTTTTGTCTGCGTTTCTTCTTGTCAAGATTGGTTTGCTTAGTTATATCTTCTTCTCCTTTTTCTTTTTCTTCCTCTTCTGGCTCACTAAATGTAGAAGATTAGATTACAATTTATAGCACATATATAATATATAATATATTTTTAATCTTCTAATATAATACTTACGTATATAAGCTTCTAAGAATTTTTCGTTTATATGCTTCATTCGCGGCTTTTTCTTTATATGTTCGAATTTCATTCTTTTCTACATGTTCCGGTTTATGCTTGAGAGCATGTCTTAAGGAACACCATCTATTCAATTCCTTATCATCAGCCATTAAGATCTTGAATAAATATGTAAAAATATGTTTATTAAATTATGAAAATTATTATAATTATTATTATACTTTTGTTAGAATTATTGCCTTTAATAACAAAATTTTACATAATTAACACTTACTTCTTCAATACTTAATCCATAATCATTCGGCACTACTTTCCTGTACTTAAATCTACAAGGCAAGTTTCCGATCATGTCTTCATAATCTAACGAATAATATTGATCGAAATATTCTGTATACGAAGGGAATTGTTTTGGATCAAATTTTGGTTTCTCCTTTGCTATAAGTTCAGCAAATTTAGAGCGCCTCCTTCGTTTTCTCTTTTTTGTATTTTCAATCAATTCGGACTGCAGATCTTGAGATGCATCGTAATCAGCATCCATCTATAATAGAACTGAACTAATAAAGATTCTATCATAAAATCAATATCAATAAAATATGTAATAGGTAAATTATAATACATGAAAATCTGGATCTTCACAATGAGGTTCCTCGTATGACGCAGTTTCCATGTCAATTTTATCTGTGGTTGGATCATATGTATCCCATTTGGGTTCGATACCCAATTCTTCATCAATCTCTGGGAATTCCGGCTTTTGCATCTCATCTTCACCACCAGCATAATATTCATCATTAAAAAGTTCCTTCATCTTTCTATCGTGTTCATTTGGATCAAAATCGGAATCAAAATCAACGTTATCAAAACGCATATCATCATTTCCTATAATTAGAACATAGTATAATATGATTAAACAATTTAGCATAAATTTTACTAAAGTTCGGAAGTTGAACAGTTATGTCACCTGTAATTTCTTTCAACTTTTCTATCTTTTCTTCTATTTCCTTCCTCTTTAACGCTTTCAATTGTTTCAGTTCCTCTCTCTTTTGCTGTTTCTCTTCCTCTTTTCTTTGTTTAACTTCTGCTCTCTTCTGCGCTCTGCGCGTATCTTTTTTTCGCATCGAGTTTTCCATTGTTCGTGGGTATCTTAATAAAATAAAAAAATTATAAATAGAAAAAAAGAAATAAGTGTATTTGATAATTAACATTTATTTGAGTAAGAATTTCTACCTTTTGATAAATTCTTGATCAGGTTCTTCGAATCTAAAGTTGTATTTACGTTCAAATTCCTCTTGTTTTAGGATAGTTTTTTCATCTTCCGACAAATTCTCATCACTATCATGAATAACTTGATTGTATTCTAAGTCAACATCATTCAATTCTTTATCCATATGTTTGTTATTTAAAATGTAATCTCTCAAAAATTTTTCATTTGAATCTAAATTAGGATTCGACCAAAAATCACGCAATGGTTTAAGCATTTCTTTATCGTCGGAATCTATTTCTACTTCCTGACCTCTTAACCATTCCTTGTATGATTCTTCTTCCTAAACACATGTAAAAGAATACTATTATATATACACACGTACACATATAAAATAATTAAAAATATAATGATTAAAAATACTTTATGCTTTTCCTCTTCTGTCTTGTGTTTGATCTTCAAAAAATCATTCTCTTCATCTTCATCTTCATTTTTTTAGAGCATGTTTGAAACTATCTCTTAAATGTTTTTGTTCTTCCATATAAGTGGGCGTTTTAGATAAAATTTTTTGTCTTGTGTTGTCTTCATCTTCGCTGCTACTAAACCGTCCGTCTCTTTCTAATATCATTTTACGTTCATAATCACGTAAAGAGATAGGTTTCTCTTTCTTTGACTTTTTATCCTTGTTTTTTGCTTCAGTATTTTCTAATGTTTCATGTTTGCCATCATTAAAGAATTTAACTTTCTCATATATACTTGGATCCTCAGATTTCAAACAAGCCATTGTTATAAGAAACTCTTTATCAAATTGTGGATCCTAAATAAAAGAATTATTGTTAGATACTTATGAATATTATTTATATATATTTGAATTTTAAATTAAAACATAAAAAAATTGAAAAATAAAAAATAGAAAATTAATCAAATATTTATGAAAGTACACATGAGAATAATTTTAAAATAACTGATAATCATTTGATTATTGGTTGTGTTCAACAGAAAAAGCAACTTTTGTAAAAATAAGCAATTGTTGTAAAATCCTTTAATATGATTAGTTTATATATTTAGATCCATGAGGAATTAATGGCAGACATCTTTCTCTGCTGAACGCAGCTATTGATTTATTAAGCTTTGAACTGTTATATAAGTTTGTTAAAAATAGCAGTATATAGTTTGTGATATAAGCAATTAATTTCAAATTTACATGTATAATAAATTAAAAAAAAAAACAGATTATCAAATTCTTAAGATTGAGTTCACCAAGCAGATGCCTTTTCCATTTTTTGTTCTGTTAATTAATAATTTGTTGGATAAATTAGAAATCAACATACAATTTCATCATCTTCTGATGAACTACTTTCACTGGATTCATCTTCTGAAAATAAAGCAGCTTCCCCATATCTTGCCTTCACTACAAAATAAATAAGAATAAAAAAAGATTACAATTATAGAATCATACAATTAAATACTCATGTAAGAAAATTTCATTGAATAACAATTGTTGCATATGATAGTGAGATTAGTTAAAATGATTTTTTTCGGATTTAATTAAATATTTCGATTCTTTATTTCACGTAAATATCGGTTAATTACAATTATATTTAATATATAATTAGTATATAATATATAATTAGTATATAATTTAATATAATTTTTCAACAGGAAAATTCTTGCATCTATTAGGGGCATATACAGGTTAGATTCACTTACATTTATGTAATTCCTCCTTTTGACGAAAGTTATCATAAATATTGGCATATTCTTGATTTATCTTCAATTCTCCATCAGAATCGGAGTTATCGTTATTGAATAATACAGACATGTTAATCAAGTATCCGAGTACAGGCAAAGCATGCGAATCATAAAATGACACCAGAGAAAAGTCCGACAGCAGCCATTCCAGCTTTTGTGTAAGGGCTTTCCCACACTAAACGCGATATAACTTCGTCACATATCAAAAAACAAGACGATGATTGGCTACCACGTTGCCGCGTATCGCGTTATCGCTTTGCCGCGTCCTGTGTGCAACCAGCCCAGATCTCTCTCTAGTAACACAAATTGCGAATACTCACTACTACAATTACAAGTACAGTGATATAACCCAATTTCGATTAAATTGCGCCTACAAATTTCACATTTTGGTAGAATTTTATCGATATTTGAAAGGTATAAGGGATTTTTCGTCTCAAAAAATATTTATTATATGCAAATGAACAAAGGACTTCAATAAACATTGAATACACAGAATTTAATAACTGATTATGATGAAGTGAAATATGATCTTTACTGTATCGCACATCCAATTTAGTTTGTATGTTGTTATTAATGACATATAAAATTATTCGTAATATAATTTAATTCAATGTCTAATCATAGTTTGAATATGAATGTTGTTACTTTGTTATAAATTTTCTGTAAAAGTTAGTAACTAATCATTATAGTAAACAATAGTATTGTTTAATTATAGTAAAAATTATAGTAAACAATTAATGAAATTTAAAAGTTGATAACTTATTTATAATTTTAAATGTATTAATTTTTGACTTTGGTTCAAATTTTATTTAAAATTAGTTATTTTTTAACATTTTTACATATTAACTTTAATTTTTTAATGTTTTTTCAGATAAAAGTTTTTTATTTTATTTTATATTGTATTGTTTAAAATGATCTAACTTAATAAGTTATGGCATTTTATAGTTTAATGTAGTAGTGTTATAGTGTTTTTAAAAATTAACTTTTAATTTAAGTTAATTTTAATATAAGTTTTTAACAAATTTGTATCCATATAACTTTTAATATAACTGAATTAATCTTATAGACTTATTCATTTTCACTTATCTTAAAAAAAATAAACTTATTCAGTTTTGTAAGTAATCAATACATATATAATAAACATATTTTTATGAGAGAAGAACAAAGTAAGGAAACTAATGAACTATATTTTAAAAGAAATAAAATGTCCAAAAATAAGAAATAATATCAAGAATAGTTGTATAATTTATTCATAGCTCATTTAATAAATATCCATTTGTATCAATATAGATTAATTTTAATCTCTATTTTACTTCATAACTGTTTTTTAATATTTAGAATTATAAAGAATAAATTAAACCGAGATTAAAGTTAATATACATTGGTGAAAATGGATAAGTTATTCTATTCTTTGATATATTATTCATATGTATTCTTGTATATGATCTTACAGAAAATAAGTGCAGTACATAAGAGCAAATTACAAGAATGACATGTATCCTGAACAGACTGAAGACTTCTGCTTTATGTCGATCTATTTTTCACAAAAATATAGTTTTTGATCCTGTTATCAAGATCAGTCATCTGAAAATTCACAGCGAACATGTTACTAATAAAATAAATGCCTGGGCAGAGAAAAAGTACAAACAAAAGGACAATATAAATAGTAATTACCAGCTTGTATATAGAGAGCAAACAACTATCTCTAGAACAATTATTTTAACATATCATTTTGGATGGGTAAGTCTTGTTATATCCGGACTTATTATAGGATATCTTATTTATATGAAACCACCGATAAAAGAGGAAGATACCTATATATCTCCTAAACTTAGATTAAGACTGAACGCTCTGAACAGATTACTTGTCGTGAGTCTTATTTTTGCTGCATCCATTGTACTTATAATAGTTAGCAAAATGTTACCACTCAGAATTTATCATAGTTCTATGGAGAAAATGTACAAGGCTGTCTTTGTAAATGCAATATTTGGCAAAAACAAATAGAAACATTTGGCGAACATACTATTGTGCCCATATTTAATGGCAAAAGAAAAGGAGATTTATTATTTAATATTAATGGTCGTATTGTTTTGCTTGATAAAGAAAGTTTTTCAGTACAATCCGTACGTGAGCAGATGATTCGTAAAACCACATAGAACCATGTGTATTTTTATCTTTACTATATTATTGCATTGTATATCACTTAGAAATATTTGTATAAGATATATTGAATAAGATTAAGCTAATTAACATCAATATATAAATGTTCTAGAAATATATATATATATATATATATATATATATATATTACATATGTATAGTAAAGTTAAGTAACTAC